TTGAACCATGGTTGGGCATGTGGGAGTCCAGTACCCTTAACCATCAGGCCACCTGCAGGCCCTCTAAGCTTACATCTTAATAAGGGGTGATTGGGAGGAGTTAGGGGAGCAAAGTTGTGGAGAAACCGTGGCTTAGTCTGGGTTTTCCCAAAAGTAGATCTGAGACAAAGGCCCCAGTGAAAGTGGTTTATTCAGGAGGTGCTCCCAGAAAGGCAGGTAGAGGAGCAGGACGTGGCAGGAAGGAAAGGCAGCCAGCAAGGTGTGCATGGCTGGCCTCACTGTGGGCAGCCAGCTCAAGCCTGCAGGGCAGTTCTGGGAGCCAGAGCGGATGGAGCATGCGTTTAAAGCCACCCCACCCTGGCTTATTTACACAGCACACTTATGGGCCTTTGTTGGAGGCTGCTCCCACAGGAAGTTAACTCCTCAGCTCCTGTGCCTGCCACGTGGGGAAATGAAAGTCCCTGAGAAAGTGCTCAGGCAGAGAAATGGGGGCGCTGGCAGCTGGAGAGCACAGCCCCTGCCCTAAGTAATGAGGCTCAGGGGACGTTGTTGAGCACCAACAGCCTCTGCCACAGGTGGGTTTTAGTATAGGACAGTCCTGGATTTGAGCACAGAATCCCCTTACCAGCAGCAGTCGGACCTGCAGAGGGCCACCCTCTTCGCCTGACTTCCCAGTAGTGAAATGGTGAGCATAGTATCTTCTTAAGGGCTAGGGAGATTAAAATTCCTGGCCCCCAGTTAGAGCTTCATGCTGCAAAATTCTAAGTATTCAAACATGCAACACTGATTATATACAAGGAATTTTTTTAAGTTCATGAGAAATGCATATTATGAAAGAATTATGCATGGATTTCAAGGGCAGTTTTTGCCCCAAAAGAAACTCGCACTTATATAACATGTCAAAGTGGGGTCTGGTTTGAGGCACTAAGGGTAAGATAGATGGCAGTTTGAAAAGAGCCCCTGTCAGAGGAACATGATTCTGCTAAAATTGAAGCAAGAACAAACATCAAATTTTCAATGAAGCTTGGGTGGAAGAATGGTGAAATCACTGATGTGCTGTGAAAAACTTATGGGAACAATGCTTCAAAGAAATCAGCATTTTACAAACACGGAACTCATTTTAAGATGGTATGACAGGCGATGTGAACAATGATACCTGCAGCAGCGGACCATCCACATCAGTTTGTGAAATGGACCAGTCTTGTGGGCTGACCAGTAGTATGATGGTCAAGGCAGCTGGATCCCAAACGGCTTACTGCATAGTTTGAGTCCTGGACCCAGTGGCTTGAAAAACACGCCAAGTGAGTGTGCGCGTGTGCTCAAAACCCAGAGAGGAGAACGGAAGAGAAGGAATTGCAGCATGGCCATCCCCCTGGAGAATGCTTTCTCACACTCTCTTGCTTTCTCTTTCTCTCACTCCAGCACGTGCACTCACCCTATAGCAAATTTAAAAAAAAAAAAAGAAAAAGATTAGTGTAGTTTGTACCCTAATTGAAGAGGACTGATGAAATAGCCGTAGATATCATGGTTCCGTTTCCACAATTCTGTAAAGATCCTAAAGCATTCCTTTCTTTTTTGTTAGCATTAGAGTTAGAGTTAGAGATAGGTTTTTAGAGAGAGAAGACAAGCACCCTCAACATTACAATACTCCCCAGTCTTCCCGTCAGCTGGAATCAGGGTGTGCACACCCAGCATGTCCAGGTCAAGAGAACTGAACCTGTGATCTTCCACACGGATTCTAACTGTTGCATCACCAAACTAGCCTTAAATTCTAAAGGTTATTATTATTATTATTGGAGAGATTATTTTTTTTTTTGCTATAGGACACATGTGCTTGCCGCAGAGACAGAGAGAGAGAGAAAGAGAAATCACCCCCCTCCCTGGGGCCATGGCCACGCCACAATCCCTTCTCCTCCATTCCCCTCTCAGGATTTTGGGCATGCATACACATGTCCCCAGCATGATTTTCCTGCCACCGCTGAGTCCGGGACTCAAACTGTGGTCAAGCATGTGAAAGTCTAGTGCCTTAACCTCTATGTAACCTGCTGGTCCCTCTGAAACACTTTTTAGAAGAATTGTGACAGGCTGTAACACACGACTTTTTTTTTTTTAAGAGGTTTTTCCTATAGGGCATGCACGCTCACCAGAAAGACAGAGACAGACAGAGAGACAGAAAGCAAGAAATCACCACCCAGGGGGGATGGCCACACCACAATCCTTTCTCCTCCATTTCCTCTCGGGATCTTGTGCACGCATGCACACACACCCGGCATGAGTTTAAGCCACCGGTCTGGGGCTCGAACTGCAGTTGACTACATGGGAGTCCAGCAACATAGCCATTACACCAACTGCTGGTCCCGTGTAACACACGACTTAGCAATATGATCCTGAAGACAAAGCACGATGAAAGCAAAGACTACCAAGAGGTAGAAGTAGTCCAGTCAAATAAAAGCAGACAGATTAAGAGCAAAGGTTAGGACCAGAAGGTGGTGTGGTGGTTAAGGCACTGGACACTCCCACATGGTTGACCATGGTTTGAGTCCTGGACCTGGTGACTTGCTTTCTCACTTTCCCTCTCTCTCTGGTCAAATTAAAATAAAATGAATAAATAAGTAAAATTAAATAATTCTTTTAAAAAAAAAAAGCAAAGGTCACTGCAAAAGTTTTGTGAGATGCTCAAGGCATTTGACTTGTTGACTTTCTGGAAGGCCAAAGAATGATAACATCTACTTATAACGAGTGTTTTGAGAAAGCTAGCTGAGGCTTTAACAGAAAAAAATACCACAGAGTCCTCTCTACTTATTTTTCTTATCAAACAAGGACAATTTTGTGAGAGTTTAGATGGGAAATTATTAAGCTCTTACAGCTCTGATTTGACTCCTGAATTTTTTATTTCCCAATTGACCCTAAGTTCTTTAGGATTGAACTAAATGGCTAAAATTGTCTTGAGCTTGATAAAGTTTATGTTGATAAAGTTTTTATGTATGCACATAAATATTTAAAATTTCATTTTCTATGAACTTTTTGAAGTCTCCTCATATTGTTAAAGGAGAAGGAGGTCCCAGTAGGTGACATTTGAGCTTGGTGTTGAAAGGGCAGGCCATAGTTGAATAAGCCAACATGGAAAGAGGGAAAAGGGAGACAGAAGTACAGAAAGAAGAGGAGGAGCGATGAAGTGGAAGACAAAGCCAATTGATCTAGAGATAATTGTGGGAACTCGTAGAAATGGGGGGGAGGGGAGTGCTGGATTCTATAGTGTCAATAGGCTTCCTCCCATTTATCACAGACAGGAGCTGAGCATGAGCTCGTAGCTGGCCAGTTTGAGAAGCCAGTCACTCAAGGGTATCCATCCTGAAGGTCAGTGCTCTACAACTATTAGTGGGAACTGGGACACAATCTGTGCTAATAACCTAGAATATGGTATTTCTGCTTCCCGTACCTGAGAAAGATCCTGTAGTCATAGACCCGAAAGTACCCACATTCTTTCACTTTCCCTTGTACCCACACCCTTCACACAACTTTACAATTCCTCCTGACAAGAAGTGGAGTCTATTTCTTTTCTTTTTGATTTTGACTAACCTTATAACTTGCCTTGGCCAAGAGAATATGATGGGTAGGACATCATAACAGCTGTAAACCTAAGCTTCTGCTTGTTCTCTGGCACCCCTGTGGCACCATATGGACAGATCTGACCAGCCTGCTGGATGGAGGCTGAGACACAGCTCAGTTGTCTCATTTGTCTCAGCCAATGTCTAGACATATGAGTGTAGCCATCCTAGATCAGCCAACCAATCAGCTCACTTCTGATCTATGAAAGAATCCATATGAGGTCAATCATTATTAACCCAGGGATTGGGGGGAAACCACCCATATAACACACAGAATCATATAAATAAATCCTATTTTTAAAGCCACTACACTCTGGGGGTGGGTGATTTGTTACGCAGCTGTAGCTAACTGATACACTTATGTGAAGTCTCAGAGCATACAGCCTCTTTAGGTATAAAACCGAAATCTCTTTCATGTTTTAAATAATATCCTGCACAATATCCTGGTATATGATAAAGGTATTTCCACAGCACATATACAACAACCAAGCAACTATGATGAGAGTGGGGAGGACAATGGAAACTATACTTCAGAGGAATATATGGAGAGAGAGAGAGAGCAGGAAGAGGAGGGAGAGAGGGAGGTACTATTGACAGGGTGTCACCATTGTGATTCTGTCTCAGCCTCCCAGTTAGGATTAGAGGAGTGCACTGCCACGCCTGGCTTGTTGAGGTTTTTCTGGCAACCACACCCTGGTCTCCTACGTGGCCCCAGCCTAGGGCAGCCGCACTCTATCACTTGTGCCTCCACAGCTGGGCTTGGAGAGAGTATTAAAAAAACAAACAAACAAAACATGACTCAGCGAAAGAAGGCAGGACAAAACTATGACAAATGTCCAAGAGTGAGAAAACGGGTATCAGTGTTGCCAGCAGCTGTGGGTGGCCAGGGGTGATTTAGTCGGGGAAACCTCTGAAAGCTGACTCACAGAGATAACCCTTTAGCAAGTGCTTTTTAAAAATACAATTTTTTAATGTTTACTGCTCTAAATCATTATAAGCAGTCACTCAAGTGGTTTATTCGACACACACTATGTTGGGTGCTTTACTGACATTCCTCAAACCCTCCTCAGACTGAGATTGGGGGAGCATTTTCTGTGTCTTACTGATGGGAAAACTTAGCCAAGGAGGTCATGTGACATGACAAGGATGACTTGGCTGGTCATTTCACTCCAGGTCTCCTGACATTAAAGTTGTGCCTACTGGGGACAGCAGGTGGTATGGTGGTTGAGGGGCTGGAATTGCCACATGGCTGACAACAGTTCAAGTCCCGGACCTGGTAGCTTGCTCCCTCTCTCTCTCTCTCTCTCTCTCTCTGGCAAAGTCATGTAAGGAAAAAAAAAAAACACTAATAAATAAATTTATTAAATCTGAGGATTTAGAGATGTTCTCAGGGATAGGAAGGCAGCACCTGCTACAGATAAGCAGGCATGAGAAGCATGAGGAAGAGTTGCTTGAATGATCACAGAAAGATGCCTGTGGAGTGTGGAGGGGAAAGACGGGTTACTAAAAAAGAATCGCTCCAGTGTTGGTGGCCACCGTCCCCGGAGTCTGCTGGAGTCAGCGGCGCTATCCTGATAGAAGGGCGGCACGGTCGTGGTTTGTGGATGGTTATCTGTGGGGAAAACCCGCAATTTTTGGAGCAGCTCCTTCAAGGGACTCATACTACTGAGCCCCAAGTGATCTGGCTTGCGTCCTCCACCGCGTTGAGCCCCAGTGACCCACAATTGCGTCCTCCACCGCCTCGGAGCCCCAGTGACCGGGTTTGCGTCCTCCACGGCATTGAGCCCCAGTGACCCGCGATTGCGTCCTCCACCGCCTCGGAGCCCCAGTGACCTGGTTTGCGTCCTCCACCGCGTTGAGCCCCAGTGAACCGTGAATGGGTCCTCTACCACGCTGGAGCGGCCGCTCGCTCTAGGGCTATCCTCCTCGCTGCCCTCCCCATGCCGCCACCTCACCCACCACCTCGCCAGGTGCCCCTGTGCCCCGACTCTCTCGCCAGGAGTTGTGATGAAGTTCAAGCCCAACCAGACGTGGACCTATGACGGCCAGGACAACGCAGGGTCGCCTGTGCTTCCGGAGTGAGCAGGAGTCCAGGTGCGGTGGGCCTAGAAGAGAAGGAACAGTGTGATCCCTCCCCGCGTTCGAGTCCCCTCACAGCACAGGTGTGCGTTGGTAAATATGCACTGACACCTGACATCTGACTACTCAGCCCTGGGATTTCCTCTGCCGCCATCATGACATTGACCCCGATGTCATTCAGAGACACAGGAAGACTTGTCACATCCTGGCTGAACTAGATAAGTACCTTTATTACCTGTCTTTGCGAGGAGGGGGTCCAACAGCTTCTCACTCCTTCCCGAGACTAAGAAGAAAACAAACCCTCATTATGCTAGGACGCACAGTGCCAACGTTGGGGACAACTAGCAACATGGCGGTCGTTCCCTGCCAAGTGGGCTATTCCTTAAGATGGGGTGCATTCATTCTAGGACAACATGCCTTGAGAAATACCAGAGAATGGAGACATAGGTGACCTTAGCCTTCTCGTTCTCACCCAGTGTCCTTGGGTGCTGATGTCCCTCAGGTCTCTGTTCCTTCTTGACTGGGATCCAAGGCAGGCACCCAATTACCAGAGAAATTGCTGGAAAATGTAAAATGAGAAACCATTCACATTACAAACAAGCCTTACTCTCTTCAAATTAATATAAGAAGGAATACACAGAATCTTAACACAAAAAAATTTATAACACGGGGCCGGCAGGTGTATGATGGTTAAAGGGCTGGACTCCCACATGACTGACTATGATTCAAGTGCCAGACCTGGTGGCTTGCTTTCTCACTGTTCCTCTCTGGTCAGATTAAAGTAAATTAGTAAAGAAAGTTAAATAAAATAATAATTTTTATAAAAATCTATTACATACCAAATAGCTGAATAAGTAAGTGGATTTTGTGTGCTGGTGAGACAGCCATCAAGCAGGCAGAACAGCAGTGGGGGCAGCCCTTCTGCAAAGTGTGGGTTGAAAACAGAAAAGAGAACGTTAAAAACCTCATACTATAATGCAAATTTCCAAGAGTCCAAATTCATGTAGTACCAGTTCCCCCTGACATGAAATTACTCTCTGTTTAGATAGGAGATGGAAGTAACAAATTATAGAAGAAAAGCAAAACAAGGCAAAAATAAGAACAAGAAGAAAAACCCACTTAATTCTGGCCACGACAGAGTGGTTGTCTGGTCTTACCCTCCTGGTACAAATGACTAGCACTCTGGACAAAACATAGGAAATGCCCTTTGCATTTAGAAATGCAAATACTCTTTGCATCTCCACTTAATCTATAACCAGCTTGTGACGTTCCCAATGCATGTGCGTCGAGATTTTAGATGACATTGCATTGAATCTTGTTGCCTATCCATTTTAGGAGAGCACTTTTTAAACAGGACCCCTGCTCACCTGATGCAAGCCGTCCTGAGGATCGGACTGTTTCTTCCCCAGGAGACCCTGCCACCTCCACTTTCTGGCGTAGAGGCATCTGACTGAGAAAGAGTCCCAGCCTCAGTATTTTGATGAGATACTATGGAGGGACTCTCCTCTCATTTCCTGTGGCAGGCATTTGTCAAAAACAAAAGGCCCTCTCGTGGTTCTAGAATTGTATGATGAAAGAATGAGTATAAGGGGAAACAAATCAAAAATAAAATAAAAAAACAAACACCGAAACAACAGTCTTAAATGCAATTCCATCTACGGGAGGGCCTCTGTCCTTTGTGTGAGTCACCAAGGTCACCTTTCCTTAAACACATTTTAACCCAGGTCAGAAAAATCGGACTTACTCCAGGGGCATAGATGTGTCTGCCACTCGCTCTCCTCTGCCTCTCTCTCGCTGGTCTTGCCTCCTGTTCTGTGGTTACATTCCAAGTTCTTCCAAAAGAAAGGTACAAATGCAGGGCCTCTTGGAGGATGACTGATCAGGCAGGTGAGAAAAGGAACAGATTGAGCCAAAAAAAGTAACTGGTAAGGCCTCTCTGGCACCTGAAGAGAAATAACTTGAGGAGGTTATAAAGGCAGAAAGGGAGCCTGCGACTAACCGAGGGGGCACTCCAGGCTGCATGGTGGCTGCCGTCCTGACACACTTCATATGTCCAGCAGGCTGGGCTGCTGCGAATTCTGGATGGCAGTAGATTTGGCAAGTCCGAACATCACCAGAACTAACCCAGCAAGAGGTAAACCATCTCTCCAGGATGCATGATGTAGTCATCGACTCTGGTTGGAAGTGCCTGGGTTGCGGGTGAGGGCAAGAACACAGGGGCCTAGCAAGGGCTAGGGGGAGGAGTGGGGGCGAAGCTGTTGTAGTCCTGGAAATGGGGACCATAGCGGACAGGGTGGTGGAGAGGGCTTGGTCTGTAGACCATAGAGGAAGAGTTGGGCATGGAAAGCCTCAGGATTGGGTAGTGGTAGGTGTTGGAATTAGTCAGGGGTGGGAAACACGTAGGGCAGAAGAGAGACAGAGAGGCGTTGTAGTGGGGAGTGGTCAGAGGGCTGACATACTGAGGAGGAATGACAGGAAACTGGGTTAGGTGAGGAGTGTGGGAAGGAAGAAAACGAGGAGGGGGTTGGGGTTTGCGAAAGATAATTCGAGGTAGCTTTCTTGTCATCGTTGTCAGAGGCACGGCTAGATCTTCATCTGGTCTAAATGAGTCCAAATTAGAACAGTCTGGAGGGGCAAGGGTGAGAACAGAGAGTTGTTACTGGCTAAGTGCCCAGAACTCCTCCAGCATTTATGTCACCACACCCCTCCCTGCATCATCAAGTGACTGAATGCCCACTATGATGTGTAGACCCTGCCCCATTGGTCTCCTGAGTGAATGCCCACTGTGACACCTGTAGGCCCTGCCCCATTGGTCTTCCTGAGTGGGCCACACCCCACAGGGAAATGGTCCTAGTGTCTAGGTTTAAAAATGACCATGGAAAATAGCAGTCATATTAGTCCCTGTTGGGATAACACATAGGTTTATTTTCAGTTGGCCAAGATTGGTCAAAGGGTCAAGATAGAAGCTGGGGTTTGGGACCTTGGACGTTGTGTGTGAAGCACGAATTGGGAAATGGAGTCAGTGTCTCACTGTATATTTTTTTAAATCTCTTTCCTTTTTTCATTTTCTTTATAAGTTAACATACAATAATTGTACATGTTGTGGTGATATAATTTTTCCATATATGAACATAATGTGTAATGATGAAAGAAGGATAGTTACTAAAAAATATTAAGAATAAAAAAATCTATTGTTTCCAACTTCAAACAAAAAAAATCACTCAACAAATATTTATTGAGCACCTACTATGGACCAGGCACAGCTCGAAGGACAGCAGAGACCAGAACAGACAAAACTATCTTCCCTCAGGAGCTGACATTCTACTGGAAAGAGGCAAAAAATAATGTTACAGGTAAAATATGTATTAACTTGACCCATAGGAAATTGCCTTTTTTTTTTTAAGGTCAAAGTTGGCTGAATGTAGGCAATTTTAAGTTGCTCAACCTAATAATATGTTAATTTCATAAGTGCTATGAGGAAAATAACAGAAGAGCTGGAGGGCAGGTAGGCTAAGGAGACAGAAATTTTAGATAGGTAGCCAGGGAAGGCCTCCTCACAAAGGTTAAGTAAAGTCCTGAGAGACACGAGGCCGAGAGCCATGAGTGAGCTGGGAGAGGACCACGGCAGGCAGAGGAGAAGCCAGTGCGAAGGCCCTGGGACAGGGTGAGTCCAGGAGGAGCTTGAGCCAAACGGAGGAGGGACGAGTAGGGTCAGATTGTGTAGGGCGTTGTAGGTCTGGCTTTTACTCGAATTGAGATTGAAATCCACTAGAGGGCCACGTGACTAGACACACACTTCAGAAGGATCACTCTATGGTCTTTAGAACAGTCTGGAGGGACAAGGGTGAGAACAGAGAGCTGTTACCGAACTCCTGTCAAGTTCGCCCTCCCGAGCACTGCAAAACAAACTGTGGCACATGGTGTGACGAAGGAAAGTAAAGCTTTACTGAAATTCTAGAAGTAAGGAGAGTGGACGGCTCATGCTAGAAAGGTCCAATTTCCCTGAGGAATGTCCTGCATCCATTTTTTTTTTTTTTGAGAGATTTTTTTTGCTATAAGGTTGCTGGAAAGACAGAGAGAGACAGAGACAGAAAGTGAGAAATCACACCTTCTCTGTTCTCCTCTCGGGATTTTGAGCAATCCCACAAATCTTAAGCCACCAGGTTCAAGACTCGAATCATGATCAACTACATGGGAGTCCAGCAACATAATCATTAATGCTATCGACTAGTCCTTCCACATGCATTTTTAAGGGCAAAATTAAGGGTAGGACAGTTCAGTGATTGGTTCAAGAGGGCATGATCATGTTGTGGGCCTTCTTGAGTGGCCTTAGATAATCGAAAGTCTACCCTGGAAAGAGGCAACCATCCTGTTTCTGGCACCATTTAGCCTGTAGTCATTGTGCTGCCAGCCATCAGTTTCCTTCCTACAAAGCATCTTAAGTATTGTTAAAACCTTATCTTTCCTTTAAGTGTGAGTTTTAGGAGTTTTATGGTCCTCATTCATGGCCACTGTTGCTTAAGGCCTTATATTGAGCCATTACAATGTAAATGAACCTTGTATTCCAAGCCGCTTAGAAAAGACATCTTACTTTTAGTTTAGCCCTTGTTAATTTCCAGTTCAGGAAAGTCTTATTTTTTTCTTCAACAGAAGGAAAAATTGAGGCCCCTTCTCTTTTTAGGGGGTTCCTGTTTGGTTTCAAAAGGAGTTAGGGGTCCATGGCAGTAACCCATCTGAGAAAAGATCATAAATTGGACCAGGATGGAAAGAGGGATTAGACTCTCTATTTTGAAGGAAGAGCTGCTGTGTTAGTGTAGGAAGACAAGGCAGGGGATCAGGGACCTATCCCTGGAGGAGGAGGAACCAGAGGCAGGAGACATGCCACAGAGCATAGGCTCCTAAATGCCATGGGGAAGAAGTTGTTTCCAGGAGGAGAAAGTGGGCTGCTGATAGGTCAAGTTAGGCAAGGACTAGGAACTGAATTGAATTGAATTGAATTCTGTGAGAAAGATCCTAGAGAGAGGGAAACTGTGATGGTGCAGGGGAGAGAAAGAGAGAGAGCAGAGCTGCTAGTGTCATGTCCTAGGGTGTGAACCTGGTCACAGGAGGAAGGACTGACTAGCCTTGGCTAGGAAGACACCCTTACTGGACCATAACAAGGAAAGACAAGCAAGTGGTCCTGATTCAGGAAAGTGAGTTATTGTCACAGCGGGAGGATATGGAATTTTCTCCTCTGATGACTTCTGTTTTCTCGGTGTAGTAGGAAACAAGATGGCCGACTGTGAATGAGGATGGGGAGGGAGGAAAAGTGTGAGCTAATTGTCTAGGACATTGGAAGGGTAGGTGGATTTTATAGAAAGATTCATTGTATAGACAATATAAAGAAATAGATATCTTAGAATAGAACCTTGCAATCCTAAGATGCACACATAAAAAACAATATGGAGGGGCCGGCAGGTGGTGTGGTGGTTAAGGGCGCTGGACTCCCATATGGCCAAACAGGGTTCGAGTCCCAGAACTGACAACTTGCTTTCTCTCTCTCTCATTCTGTCCCTCTCTGGTCAAATGAAAATAATTAAATAAAGTTAAATAAAATAATTTTTTTTTAAAAAAGAAAATGATGTGGAAAGAGATACTAAACCATCAAAAGTAGTTATCTTTGGGTGGTGAGATTAAAAGGCACTTCGGGCCCATGAAATCTGGTCCAACTGGGAAGGGGGCCTTGGTGGTACAACAGCCTCATGGGGGCTCAAAGTCATCATGCTGAGGGCCTCAGGAAGGGTGCTGAGTTTGATTTGGGCCCAAGCAGTGACTCAGGCCCCAGTCCTGGGGTGACCAAGAGGAGGGAGCTTCAGGCTTTCTTCCAATCAGTGGGGTATGCAGCCTGGAAGTCTCCTTTAGGCCACCTGCAGTTATGCTGTCCAGAAATCAGTCCAGCCCAGCCAAGACAGTGACCTGCCCGCTTCCACACTGCTCAAAGACTACCAGAACATCCCTACAACTGAGAAGGCTGATGATGTTGTGAAAAGATTCTTGTTTCTGGAAATGGCCAACCAGAAGGAGAAGCTAAAAACCCATCAAGAACAGCTGATGAACAAGGTGGTGGCAAACGCTGGGACACCAGCCCCCTGGAGGCTCGAATTGTTGCCTTGATCATCAAGATCAGCAATTATGAAAAAGATGCAGAAACACTGAAAGGACGAGGCCCACAAATGCTGCCAATGAGTATCAACCAGAGGAAAAAGATGCTCAGACACCTCCATAATACCAGCTATGATGGTTTTGAGAAGACGTGCAGGAGCTGGGATTGAGTACACCTTCCCCCCTACCAAACAGCCCACTGCTGCTTCCTGACTAACAAGGCTCTGTACATTCAGTTTTCCAGGAGGTTCCAAAACTGAAGCAGCAACCACATGCCTTAAAAGCTGCAGCAGCAGTAGCCACAAAACAAAGCTGGAGGAATCCAGGGAGCTCTTCTAAAGCCCAACCACGGCACTCGAAACCAATAAATTCTGTTAAAATGGAAAAAAAGGTACTTCCATTTTCCACTTCATATAACAGTTCACCATTTTCAATTTTTAAGTTTAATACTTTTGTAAATCAGAAAAGCATCAGAAGAAGACATTTCCATTGCACAATTAGAGCGGTTAAAGAAAAATCCAAGCTGAGTTCAATTTAATAGTTTAATTCAGCAAGAGATAGTTCTAAAACAAAGCAGTATTCCTGACCCAAACAGGTTCGAAACCTCCACCCAGCCACCCGTGCAGCCTAGAGTATAGTCAGAGATGGGACATACAAACCAACAGAGACCTGACCCAACCCAAATCTTTGCAGTTGGCATTTGCCTTATATGGTCATGGTCCGATCAGTTGGCAGTCTGTGATTGGCTAAAGCTCGGTTGCTACGATTGGCTGGAGCTCAGTTGCTAGGTTACCAGGATACCTCTTAGATTTAGGTTATAATGCTGGTACATCCAAGTCAGGTTGCCATTCAGTATCTACAGAGGCTGCTTTGGGCCAGGTTTATCACTCAAGTACAACGACCTGCTTAGGCCACTTTAGTTCAGTTTACCAAGGCTCTGGAGATGAGATGGAATGAGGCCCTGCTAATAACATCCTCTTCTCCTGGATTACATGTTATCCACTCTTTCTAAGCAGAGGTGCAGCTCCTCCTGGATCTTGTATCCCACTCCCTCCAATCTCTACTCCCCTGACTTTCCCAAGGCCAAGGCCGCCTCTATTGGCCCATCTCCTTCTCGCCCTTTCTTCTAGATTCTTCATAGCTGGGCCGTGGTTTCTCCTCTGTAGCAAAGTTGGGTTAATTTGAAGGGTAGTCCACATTGCACAAACTATGTTGTCTCATTGCTTGGCCTGGTCCAGTGAGTGATTAGATTTTTCTGGACCAAACCAAGAGGTCACTGCAACTGGGGCAACTTCCTGCCAGGAAGCTGGGGTCTAGATGACCTGGATCATGCCACTAAGGGGGCTTGGAACCATGGACAAATCACTTGCTTCGTCTCAGTTTCTGTTCTATGAACTGTGAAATGGGAAATATTTGATCTTCCTATCTCCTAGCTTTGTTAGGAAGCGAGCTCAAAAATAGATACCCTCCCCCCCAAAAAAAAAAGGCATTTTAAATAAAAAAGGGATTGGGATGTCCAACAGAAATTTATGTGAAATCATTGGTTTGTTT